GTACAGTGCAAACAGCGTAATGCAAAAGCCATTTATGATATGAATGTAGGCATTACGTTAAACTCACGAATTTCCTCAAAGATTAAACGAAAACCTGTAATTCTCTGTAAGATCCTCTGAAGAATGTAAGTGTGAAATTAATATATATTTCATAAGTACACACACCCACACACTAAGCACAATTTTGAGACATACGAGCCATATATGCGGTTGTGGACCTACAGTCTTGACGTGACGCGGAACTGGTAATTTTTAAAGGCTGCACTATAAATAAAACTGGATATTCATTTCCTCCGACTCCGGGAAAGAATATATCTGAAGAAGTTTTCTGTATGAATGTTGAATGTTATTCATTGCAGTAAAAAACTAGGGAACTGTCATGTCCCTCGCAGGCCACACCTGGAGACATCTTAGGACCCAGGTGTTAGTGAAGACGAAGAAATGATTGTAAAATATTGGAATTGTCTCTGAGGAGAAATGTGGGCCGACAGAGAAAAGATAAGTGAGTAAAGCTAACACATTCCGCGAGTTATATTCTACCCCGATCACTTCTTTAAAACGTACCATGTATGGTATGACGACACTGAACTAATTGAATACATTACTTGACTGTTTAAAACTCAGTGCTAACTATTTGTTCAGTAATTTTGCGTTCCGTCCTCAGAGATTATTTATGGATTTCACGTGAATATCAGAAGATACGCTGATTACTTCCATTTGAACTTTATAATTTGACGGAGATGCGTCGTATTATTCGACGAGGCTGTCCCCCACGAAACATTGAACTCCAGCGGTGAAAACTTTTATTTTTGTAGTGTTCTGTCTGATGACAGGTCCATATGAACAGGATCCTTCGATCCTTTTCTCCGACTGGGACCTGTTCATATACGTTCTTGGCAGATGATCCAGAAATGGTTTGCCATTGCCTTCTTCTGTGTGTGAATGGATGTCTGACGCCAGGTCCATATGAACAGGATCCTTCCATCCTTTTCTCGGACTGGGACCTGTTCATATACGTTCTTGGCAGATGATCCAGAAGTGGTTTGCCATTGCCTTCTTCTGTGTGTGAATGGAGTAATTGTTGGGAAGCCACGGAGGAAAACCGTGTTGCCTAGACCACGGCCTTGCCCAACACAAGTTATAAATTCGGACACCGCCGGGAATCGAACCCGAGACCCCCAGGATTACAAGGCCAGCGTTCTAACCGCTAGACCACCGTGGCAGGTGGTGAAAACTTACGGATTTCCCGCGCCCAGTCTCGTTTGGCGTGCAGTATTACCGTTCTTGCGAGGATACGAAAGACGCGAGGCCTGTCCTTATACTGGGTCATAGAGGCAGAGGAAATATTTTTGTGAAGGCACAAGATGACTGATAAACCGCGGCGGAAAGAAGAAATAAGGCAGGGATGGGTTCAAGAGAGACTATGAAAAATGACTCTTTGGCTTAACTACATTAGTTTTGAAACAGGAAAGCATTTTGTGGCGAAGTGGAACAAGTTTCTTTCAGAGCAGTGGATTTTTAGTTTCTTTGTTTTCGTAACACAGTTTTCGCACATGCTTATGTACTGAACACTTACTAGAATCTGACACAAAAATTTCTTTGATTTAATACGAATATATATCTCCTGTGTATTTATATATTGTTTACTTAACTACTCTCCCATATCTCACACTATATAGCGTCTAATGTCTCTCCTATCAAAAGTGTTCGGGGGGGGGGTCCCCCCTCTCTTTATTTACATTCCAAAGTGTTCAGAGAGCTCATTTTTCCCCTGGGGTAATGCGGACGGCGCGTGAAACTGACAACATCCTGTAAGGCTTAAATTAAGTTTACGACCTATGTTAACAATCCATGGAGCTATACCTCCACTCCCAATACGTCATCATGTTGTAGTGCTTAATACATTGCAGGGACCACATGACCTTTAAAAAGTGGAATATATTTTTTTTTCGCTGTCTTGGACGCAAATAAATTAGTGACGTGAGAATGGAGACTGTTACACAGTGAACAGATAGAGAGATAAATTTGTTACGTAATTAAATTATGTAATATTAGATGTGCTGGGCGTGTAGCACGGAAGAGGAGAATTATAAATCCAGAGGGTAAAAGTTATTGTGTCGATAAACATAAAAAACAATTTATTAAAATTACGGCAGTAAAAACAATCTTTTCCTCGAACTCTTTAAAGCCCAGTGGTAACTATATGTACCACTTCCTTTAGCAATCAGTAATTCTTCATTATGCCTACAATGTACACATTTGTTTTGTGTTTTTTTCATAAGAAACAGCGATTATCTCCTTAAACCGCGTTAACAAGTTGATCTTTGTAATGGTGAAGCGTAGTGTTTTCTTCGCGGTACGGACTGAATATTTAAATATTATTTAGATGAGTTTTGATTTGAGATTTAAAAAAAACATGTACCGAATACATGAGGCTGTAATTTAAGTTATAGCGTTGAAACCCAGCGTAGCTACGCTTTGTAACACAATTGTCGCCTTTTTTTTCGTCTTACATCTGCCATGCAGTTTTACTATCAAAGTTGGAGGGAAAGTTAATTAGTGTTTGGTTGATGAGGTTACTTGTTTGCAACTACCGCGAGACGGCGCTGATGTAGCTGGCTTGGGTCTGTTCTTTTGTCGGTGCAAATATGAGGTAATTAGCATTTTAAAATTAACACGGGATTACATGAGAAACAAACAAGAGCTATAAAAATGTACCGTGTCAGAGTTTTAACATAACTCAGAGACGCAGAGCAACGTTGAAGGAAGGATATATAAAATAATGAACATTTTCCCTGAAATTCGAAAACACAACACGCACAACACACGGAAGACGTCAGAAGGGCGTACAGAAGCGTCTCTTACGCCCTCAATGTGCGAATATGGCTGTCTTTTGGGACGTTGCATCGCGTAGTCTGGTAGAAGTTTACCGACGTTTCAGAGGTCCTTGCTGCCTCCATCATCAGGGCAATGACCACTTCGTGATAAATACAGTAAGTACCTGTGAAACATCTGTCAATTTCTACCTGACTACTCCGTGCAACAGCCAATAAGATTCATATTCATACCGGTAGCCATGAGAACCTGATATTTTACCCCTCATGTGAAAAAGCAGGTTTCAGGCGTTTACTGCGATGTTCAACGAAACCGTGTCGAATGATGCTCTGTCGCTCGTTAGACCTGCATTGACCGTGAAAGAGTAACAGGGAGCGAGACGCTGTATGTGACCCGTGTTTGCCGTGCACAGTACACACGCAGACTATCAATGAGTAGACATTTGGGTCGTCATGTCGACTACAGATGCTGGGAAAAGAGTGTTTTGTATCCCCAAGGGTCGTAACTATTCCATGTTTTGTGTGTACCGACTCTGACTGCTGACTCCTGTTTCGCTAAGTCAATTCTCTGGTCAACTTCTGAACTGCCAACTCCAAAGCATGATATTCCTAAACTCATGTGTTCTACATTTCACGCACATTGAATGTGTTTTTCACATGTCATTGATAATCCTGTTCATCAGTAACTGAGGGTCTCGCAGTGTTGACTCCGAACGTGTCTGTCTTCTGGGTTGTAGCGCCGCGTAATCTGGTAGAAGCTTACCGACGTTTCAGAGATCCTTGCTGCCTCCGTCATTATAAGGTAGGATTTTATTGCCTCATCGCCCTGATGATGGAGGCAGAAATAATCTGTGAAACGTCTGTAAACTTCTACCAGACTACGCAGTGCAACAACCCAGAAGGTAGCTACGTTTATACTCGTCGTGAAAACCTGACATCTCACGGTGTGGATTGGATTCATCTGGCTTAGAAGAGAGACAGGTGACGAGCTCTTGTGAAGACTGTAATAAATCTTTGGGTTCCTTTGAATTAGGAGATAAAAACCAACTCAGCTGTGGTTCATAAGTAGGACTGTAATCGATGGAGCGGGTAAGTTTGTATAGTTCTTTTAGTAGTTTCGGAGAGGAATGGTATCGACCATCACAATCGACCAGCAACTGTGGTCTGCGTGCGCAGAAGATGAGTTTTACGGAGCCTTCAGTTAATATTGTAAAACTGGTTCGTATGATAGCGTTATAACAACCAGGAAACCGTTCCGTGGTGGGGAAGTTGATGTTGGACAGGAATTATCTATGTACGAGAAGGGGGGAGAGGGTGCGTGAGTACACAGATATGTTCGCGTTATATAACAGAATTAAATGACCGATACATAACGTCACATAAGTTCACGGTGATAAATGCAGATCCGCGTTATCAGAAACAGCAGAATGGACCAGTAGAGAAGAAGGGGCCGCCATGAAAGAACGTACTGCATACAAAACGTCGCTGGAACGTGAGCTCAATGAATGGACACGCTCAGCCTTCGGTGTGAGCTACGTCACAACCGGTGGATATTGCAGTAACTACGACAGAATCGTATGTTCCCGAAGCAACCTGACGTGTTACGTCTTGCAAATATAGAGCCATCTACGTAACAGGACATGGGATGGCGAAGTCAGTGTTGTGACTAGGCCACGGGGTGGACGACCGAGGTTCGATTCCCGGCAGGGAGGGATTTTCCTGTTCTCTGCTTTTTCCGGTCGAGGTTTAGGACCCATCAAGTCAGTTTTTTCCTCGGTGATAAAGCGGCCAGGGCGTGAAGCTAACAACCAATCTTCATCTCATACCAAGTTAAGAAAGTGCAAAGCTATACCTCATGGCATGGTGCTTAATTAAGCACCAGGAACAGCTTTACTCGCCTATATTTGTTATTCCAGTACAGGTTAGGTTTAAACATGGCGAACGTATCATGTCATAAGTTGAAAATTTAACTAAACTGGAATGGCCGCTTTGACCCCTGACAGCTGCAGTGTAATACGTAAGCCGTCGTACGATGAGCTGGACCAATCGGGTGGAAGAATATTGAATTACGTTTCGGAGAAAACTGTTGGTTAGAAAAGAAAACTCAATCAAAGAGAAGAATGAAGATTCGGGACTAAGGAAAGAGAAGTCTGGTCTCTTACTCACCTTTTCCATTTTCTGGTTTATCTCCTTGTCTCTTCTGGAACTGCAGACAGAAAAGAAATCAATAAGAAATATTATAGAGATCGAAACATTAATAAAAATATCCTTCTGTCATATTTTTCTAGCAGAAAGTATATTTGAGAATAACACATTACATCGAATTATATTTAAAATGACGTCTTACAAAAAAAAATTTGTGATAGAATAGACGTAATTTATTTCTGGGTTGAGATTTTAAGATTGTAGGCTGAGACAGAATTCTCAAATGAAGCTATGTTCAAGTTCACGAGTTATAACGATAATTCGATGCCAGAAGAGTTCTTCTTGAGAAGGTTAGTCTTTCAGGTAATCTATAAAGCTATTGGGTTGCCTCAAAATTGATCAAGTCCTTTCTAAGAACAGCCAACAACTACAAATATAAACTACATTTTTGGAAGAAATTCATTGAGATCAGTTTTAATTATCCGTGAATACGTAAATTCATTCCAACTTTTGTTAAATATTAACACAGGCAAGTGTTTGTATAAATGCAATAACCTATTTGCTAGATTCAAAACATATTGTAAATCTAATACATGTAAAATTTGTTAAAGTCACATTGCAACTAACATGTAACTTCATCTTTGTGTAATTATGCTCATAGTCTTAATATGTAGTATCCTGTTGCGTATTTTTGTTATAAAGGCTTAATAAAAAAAACATTCAACATAACTATCTGATGTTTAATTTAATTATAATAGTACAATATATTACGTATGCACTACGCATTTCCGCAATACGCCGTCTTTATAGGTTAAGTTGGTGTATTTGTTTTTGATCGCCCTGTATAATACCGGTAAAAACTTCGTACGCTGCTTGTCGCTTATCATAATGAAATATTTGCGCTACCAGAAACCTCGGTAGCGTATCTAACTGAGGCAGAAACTTGCTTCCTGGAATTTCGATGTGAACTTGTATCTCAGTTGCAGACTAAAATGGACAATTGCCCGTTGCGTTTCAAACGCTGTTCTCGAAACTTCCATGTGAGACGACAGCAATGATTGAAAATTGCAGATAAATTGGCGAAAGTTAATTTTACGGATTTTCATAAACGATGTTGTGTCGCACTGAAGGAAAGCTACGAAAGTTGGCATGTGTACTTCTCGTCACTGGAGGGTGAGTCAGAAGCCATTTGATTTTATTACCCCCTTCAGAGTCTGCTTAATAGTACCTGAGAGCATTCTGGGCACGATTTTTTTTTTTTTTTTTTTTTTTTTTTTTTTTTTTTTTTTACCCTGTTTGCAGCAATTTCCGCTGTGGTGCACAAGTCTTTTACAATTGCGAACTGTCCTCCTGTTCTTGCCAGCAAGTCAGAAGAATAACAGCACGAAAGACAATAAACGAGTATAAACCATGAAAGAAAAATTGTCAGGAATCCCATTGAAGAGAAGGCGAAACTGTAGCACAAAAACGCCCAAAAACTTCCGTAGTTACGTCGCAGAATGGGGCACGCCATTAATCTCGCGTGTGTGGCCGACTTCCACCCTTTGCTGATTTCGTCCAGGGCGAAGTATTTTCCCGGCCCGTTCTTTCATCTCGTCGTGCCTCCGGGCATGAGTCACGACCATATTTTGGAAAGCGGAACCCACTAAATGGATCTTTACTATGGCCTTCTGGGAACTGACGCCTTGCAGACTTGTAAAGTACAAACACGCGGGAAATAAATATTTACAAGACTTTTCTTGTAAATCCTCAATAAATGGAACCCTTTGAAGACCCAGGCGTACATGGATGATAATATTAAAACGGTATTTAAAGAAAAATTATTAAAATTTAGACTATATTGGATAGGTTTAAAATACATGTTAATGAAGGGTATTTTTTAAGTACCTGTGGTGATATTATGACCTTACTGAATAGATTACTGGTTGGTCAGCTGGGTAACTGTCGGTGTTTTCAGTACCACCAAGGACTTATTCCACACGATCGAATCCCTTTCTCAATTAATGACGTACTTATTCAACATATGGATAGCAGTTTATTGTATTTATAAACTATCCAGTACATTAGTAACTTCGGCTTTCGAGTGTGAGCTACATCAAATGTTAAGAATTATCCGACGTTTCGGCATACATTTCAGTTGTCATGTAAGATTTCAGGTTCTTATGGCGAAAATAAATATTGCTTTCTTCTGGGTTGTTGCGCCGTGTAGTCGGGTAAAAGTTAATCGACATTTCAGAGGTGTCTGCTGCCAATCTCCCTGATGATGGAAGCAGCAAACACCTTTGAAATGCCGTCGGTAAACTTCTACCAGACCACATGGCGCATGAACCTTTATTGCAGTTGCCATCTTAAGGGTGAAGATGTCAACTGCAGTGTTTGCCGAAACGTCAGGTAATTCTGAACATTCGACAGGATTCGTCCCGGAAAGCCGAAGTTTCACACCGACCCCGAAATTTCAAAGGCAAGCACATTTCATAAAACATTTTAACGTTTCGTTTCTGATAAATATGTTAAAAATATTTCGAAATATAATTTCTGGAACGTGCATCGCGTTCCCGTGTGTGGTCATTATGCTGAGAACAGATGAATTCCCAGTTGTGAATTTATTTGATGTGGAAAGCTTAAATTTGAACCGCAATTAAATCATCTATATGAAAGAATGCTAATAAAACCATGACTTGTTCAATTACGATAAATGTATCCTTTACATCACAAAGTGGACCTAAAGCATTCTTCTATATGTACAAAACGTTCAGATGGGTCTACTGTCTAATGACCGTAACATAACAGTTTCAATTACGAACACAAAGTTTTGCCTTTGTAATGTGTAATAAAGTTACGTGGAATTTGATGTGTCATTTTCAAATGAAAGAATCCATTGCTCATAGCTGATATTCATTCGTTTCTCTAATGCAAAATATACATATATCAAGCGTAATGTGGGAAGTTATGAAACAAAAGACCATCTGACAAACCTTTCTTTTTTCCCAGATATTAAACACTGAAGTAAGTAACAATTATTGATTCTAGTTTGCAACCAGGTAACACAGAAAATTTTAAAGGTAGAAACAATTATTAAATTTTAGTGTGCGTAACGTTTTCTTCCGATACAAATATAAAATAGTAGTCAAACACTTAGAGTAGAAATATTAACCATTCAAAACCGAATGGTAATTATATTTACCAGACGTTTGAGCAATTACTAACTCTGCATTCTGTATTTATGGGCCATGCATAATTCTCGATGTAAACAGCGACAATTTCCTTAAACAGCGTTAACAAGTTGATCTTTGTAATGGTGAAGTGTGGTGTTTTCTTCGCGGTACGGACTGAGTTTTTAAATATTACTTAGACGAGCTTTGGCTCCAGATGGTTAATTAGGCCCATACTCGGTACTTTAAGAGAAGGAACACGGGGACGGACAGACAGACAGACGGCTAGAAAATTAATTGAACCGACAATAAGCGGCTTTAAAAATACGGCTGTAATCAAGTATTACTTACAGCTTTTCATACTGTGTTTTGCTCAACAGATCGTCACTGTTCGTATCGTAGATGGTAAAGTATAAAGGGGCCTATTCCCATGACAACGTGTGTCTCTCGTTGCAGATATCGACAGGGACAGGGATCGTGTCCCACTTCGTGGACCTGCACATCGTGGTGCCTGAAGCATTCATACTTGGCAGCGGAGAACATCACGTAGACGTCGGAAGTGGTATCAGCTTGGTCTGCATCATTGAGAAGGTGAGAGCCACCTGTTACCATAACAACCGTCGCCAAACTGCGTGCTTCAGGCTCACAGCAATGTCGTAACGACATTGGGACACACGGAGGCGAGTGACGACAGCTCAGAACTCGCAGTGTAGCGGCATTGTACTGGCGACTTTGAGCCACGTGGTAAAGAGGGCGAAGTCCCTCTGTGGCCTTGATGCGTGGAATTTGGTGACGGCTGCCGGATCGTAACTTTTTCCAGACCTGGTACCACTTCCATCCCATTTTATCGACTCGCGAGCTGCAAGGTTATAAATCAGGGGAGTTTTCTTAAACTCCGTTGCGTTTTATCCGAAGTGATGTAGTCGCACTGTTTCTGGTTATATACCGCTCAGTTATTTTTCTTAATAAAATCTGTCGTTATTGACAAACTTGAAACTGCATTTATTACAGAAATCTTTCAGTATCAGTTTTAATTAATCTTTTTTTTAATTCACATCTCGTGTTTGTCAGTAAACTTCGTCCAAATTCATGATTTGGCGTTCTTAATTAAAGCCCAAGCTGATAGTTGCTCACATTCGTAGGCACTGTCAGATGAAGACGACTTTAACAAAACGCGTTCTCTTATGTATTGTTAACTATTTATAACATTATAGGTTGATGTATTGTTATAACTATAGTAAGCGGACCACAGTTTTGCGAAACCTCTGATTTTCTTTGTTCCGAAGATTCATAACCATGTTCACAAGGTCACCACTTGCCCCTGTCCTGAGTCACATGAATCCAATTTACTCCTTCATACTACATTTCTTTGGGATCCGTTTTAATATTATCCTTCCATCTACTCGTAAGGATCTCTGTATTTTGCAGTGGCTTGTTAAATCTGTTCTTACAGTCCTGTTAGTTAGTTAAGCGAATGACGTTAAGTTGTTTATATTAATGATAGTTTGCCACCAGACCACGGGGTGACACTGCTGTGTTGTGGTAACGGTCGGGATCGAACCCGGGGCGTTTTAAATTCTAGTTACTGTGTGATGACGTCACAACACATGACGTCATGACGTCAACAACGTCATGACGTTACGTACTGACGGGGCTCCATCAGGTTGGAAAGCTGCCTCCATGTCTACGCTCAGGGCAGTACTCCCGGAGGAATGAAGGCAGACGAACGATCTAGTCTTGGCTGAATTTCAGGAAAACTTGGCAGTGCTTTACGCTGAAATCTAATAAATGGCCAGAAAATACGAGTAACATAAATTCACATTACTACAGCACAAAATTAATAGCACCAGACTGATAGCACGTGTTCGTATCCTAGACACACGGCGGGTACTTCTGATCGAAAGTGAATTACGCGTATTTTCCAAATGTGTTCTGCGCGATCTTGAATACTTCACTGTCACTGCACGTACAGATCCGTTGTTGTAAAGCTACTCGCACTACAAAGAGCCGGAATTGAATTTTTCCTTGTAAATTACGTCGTTAAACATTCAGCGTAACAAAAATCTTTCAAAAAGTGTCGATATGGTTGTCTTCCGTAATGTTGCACCTTGTAGTGTTACAAATATTGACCAACAATTCGAAAGAACTTACTGCCTTCTTTATTAGGGTGTTCGTCGCCCTGGTTATGACAGTAAACTCTCTGAAACGTCGGTAAACGTCTACTAGACACTCGTCTTCAGTTGATTTGTTATTTTGTTTGTAAATTAACTACACGTATTTTAATCTTCAAATATTACGTATTTTTCAATTTTATAAATTACTCATTTCTGAGAATGTTGATTGAGGCGGTAGTGTTCAAGAATTCTGGTGGAGAAATTGAGTAAAACCGTGTAAAATTACAGTGAGGACAGTGTTCGTCCCCGCCGACTTCCCGAATAGGCAGGAGTGGTACCCACTCCGCCTTGACGTTCGATGGTATTCGCCGTATTTCATCCGTGCGTTCGTTTCATGCAAATGGAACGTAATAAACGTGTACAGTCTCCTGTTCGCTGTCTCACTGTTCTCAGACTTCTTACTCCTGTTGGAACATGTAAGTAAAAATAATAATAATAAAGGGTCCCACTTTCAATATGCTCGGCTTAAAAGCAAAAGGCTGTAGGCTGCTTCATGATAAAATTGAATCATATATCCCATAAACGCTGAGTAGCTTCGGGCTCAGAAGATGTTTCTACCTGGTTGAATTTTAAAGCAGAACGTACAGCATGAGAGGTTCGGCGTGCCTCTCCTGATTAAAGCTAAGAATTTCGTTAAGAATTCTGATGTGTCATAGTCAGGTCTTAGCAAAACTTTCAGTGACGTGAGGTAAAGTGCATTCTAGCACCGAGAGACAACATTTCCAGCAGACAAAGCTAAGGACCGAAGTTCGATCACGGCGTGACCATGGATTTTGTCCTGACCGATGCGTCCTGACGGGTTTCGCCGTCGTCATTGCCTTGTTCAGTGGGTATCTCAACTTCTTTACGTAACTCAAAGAAAGAAGTGATGTTCCAATGCTAAATCGACAACATTAACGCGCTGTGACAAGTATTTTCGAATTTTGGGCAAGTTCATAACTATGGTTTCCCCTTTTTAACCCCCCCCTCCCCCCCGTCGTATGGCAGCTCAGTCTTATCGCCATTCATACTGACTCACGTGTGCAGAGAAGACTGGAGGACACAGATCAGTCAACTCATGACTTCTTCAACCGGGCAAAGATTATTTCGTAATGGCTTCGGTTCGCGTTAGAACGAGTTTTAAAACAAGATATTGTATGTGCGTCATATTGTGATTTATTTAAATAGTATTAAAAATATATTAAAATTGGCCGTCAATCACAATAAAAATTAATTAAAAGATTAAAATATCATTTTACGTTCCGTATCGAGTACTCGATTTACATGTGGAACATTTTACGACAATCATATTAGTGACATGTGACACAACAACGGATGAAGATACAATATGAAGGACGTGAACATGATAAGAAAAATGAAAACTAAAAATCTTAAAAATCAGTAATTCAGTTAAAAAGTTTATAACATAACACCTGATGATGGCTATATATAGCCGAAACATGTCGTAAAATGTTCCACGTGTAAATCGAGTACTCGATACGGAACGTAAAATGAGTTTTAAAACGTTACTGTGTATAATAAACTACAGTAATTATACTTTGACACTTTGTAACAATCCGGGACCAAGATATTGAGATTCACACTTGCACTTAACTGACACGATCGTCCTCTGTCACTAGCTAAAAAAACGTTCGTGAAATATCAGCTTTATGTAAACAATTTCTGAAAATAGCTCAATATTTTTCGTGCAACATTTTAAAAAAATTATGTGCGTCATATTAATACCTGGAAAAGGCATGTAACTAATAAGACCTATGGATTGCGGGGTGGGAATCTGGATTTGCAAATCTAATAAAATATTTGTTTTAACAATAAATAAACATCGAAATCCGTGTTTTATATAAACATGAACACGAAATATGAAGAACGTATTTCAATAATACGTGTCGCCCAATATGAAAGACATCTTCCGAGTCTGTCTGTCTGTGTTCTGTGAAAGCGACAGGCTGACCGCTGCGCGTTGCCTACCAACGGATGCTTAATTAAAATTAGACGTTACCAAATTTAGGTTTCTGTCACACTGATCAGGACAGATACGTACGAATTGGTGCAACAGATACATTGTTCCTTGCTCACAACACGTTCGGGGGATGAATGTAATTATGGCTACGTCTTAATTAAGGGTGAAGTATTTTCTGCGCCCGGCTTTGAGTAATCAGATCAGCGTCCAATCAGTTTAAATCGCAGTCAGGTCAAGCGAAATGATTTTCCTTTGTTCTAACATCACTCAGAACAGTAGCAGCTGAGTAACTGAAATTGTAATTGCGTCTGCTTACGATTATATCCTGGCAAATTAAAATGCATGTCGTGATATTCGTAACAAGTTAGGAAAAGAACGCATAGCGTAACAAGTCTGGTGTTTCGCCGGAATTCACATTTATCCTTTGTCCAATGCAGCCTTAATAACTTGATTTCCTATTTTTAAAATCAACTGTTAAGGGATTTTGGGCCTTATGGGATAATATTTATGACGATCTGTGTCCACTACTTCAGATTGTACCCTAATTTTGATAGTCAGTTTACTCGTGCAAGATAATTTGGTAGAAAACAACTTTTCCTGCCACGTGATATGCAAGCCGTTGTCTCGTGTTGAAATAAGATTGTAACAGATTGCCAACTAGTGAAAGCTGTGGACTAGTAAGTGGCCTCATCTCTCTTCAGGGCTCACTGTTGCACGTGTCAAGCTAAATCCTCCCTCGTGTTCCGTCCAGTATCATGTCCCTATATCACTTCATTGTTAACACAATGTGACAAGCTAATCTATAAACCTACTTTACTCATTAACATAGAAAATCCGGATTACTGTGTGTGTTTCATCTGTCATATACATACACGTTGATATTTTTTATGTTGAAGTCACACATTAATGAATTGTGTTTTGTACAAAACGTAACAATTTCGTACGCAGCATTAGCGTAAAGATAAATCTGGGATAAAAAATAATGTGCTAGTGGAACTTGTTGGCTGGTTCCTATAAACATAGTACCAAACCACGGATATTATTAACCCACGGAACTTATAAAAAAACCGTATTTAAAAATTCAGTTTGTACCGCAAAGAAAACACAACTTTTCACCATTACATTCGTGTAATTTTCATACGTACGCCTTGATCTGTCAAGTGACATGTTTCCATGGTAATTCGAAGTCCTGTTTTGAATTTGGTTTCCTCTCACATTTCTGATTGACATCCTCACGAACATATCCAGTTTAATCACTTCGAAGTATGAATGTCTTCATTGCGTATTTTTCTCTGTGGATATTTTTTACCTTACAGACCCAGATTTCCTTCTGAAATGTGTTATATTATCCCCATTCATGAATCAGAATGGTAAAATATAAAATTATAATTTTACATTTTTCAGTCTCTATTGGATATAATTTCTCACGGCGGTGATCATGGCCGTGTTGTTCTGGATTTTTGTTCCGTGTAGACTCGTAGATAGATGCCAATGATTTGTAAAACATGCTGTTTCCATCTTTAGACTCGAAGATGGAGACACTTCAGCCCTACACGTGTCTACACGGCGTCAAAACCCATAATCATAACAACATTACCATCATCAACGCAGACTTAAACTAATGTTAAATGTGCAGAAAACATCTGAATTCGATATGCCACGGCACAGTGGCTGATAAACCCTGATGTATGTTGAATTCGGTGCCACGAATGTGTTCCAGAGCCCCACCCCGCCACAGTTCGTGTTTTGGTACCATAATGACCGCATGATCAACTACGACACGTCACGGGGTGGCATTACCGTCGAGACGGAACCAGGCCCAAAGACGCAGAGTCGACTTACCATCCGCGACGCTCACGACACCGACTCAGGCAACTACACGTGCAGCGCATCGAACACGGAGCCAGCGTCCATCTACGTATTCGTCTCCGAAGGTAAGTACCTACTCCGAAAACACTCCGCGAGTCCGAGGTCCACGGAGGATCTGAGTTTTTCACTGCTGTGAGTCCGAAGATGGCTGTCTTCTGGGTTGTAACGCCCTGTAGTCTGACAGAAGTTTACAGACGTTACAGAGGTCCTTGCCTCCTCCGTCATCAACGACCTCTGAAACGGTAAACTTCTAACAGACTACATGGCGCTACAACCCAGAAGACATTCGGGCTAGACCTTACAGTCCCTCAGTTAGTCAACAAAAGTTTCTCTTTTTCAAGGATTCTAAGTCTAATTACCATGTTCTCGACACCCCGTCACTGATGAATCAAATTTGCACCCAGTTTCCCAGAGATCTATTTTACTGTATCCTCCTGTCTGCGCTTTGGCCTTCAGAGCCTTGCGTGCTACATGCCCCGGCCATCTAATCTGAAACTTGGTCGAATTGTTGATTAAGGTCTGACATTTTCTATCACACATTCCATAAGACAGCCAGACATAGTTTTATTCGTCGCCTTGAGAACCCGAAATATCACCAGCTTTTAGGGTGGACTTTGAGGAAATAGATTAGCGTCAAGTTTTGATATCTGTCGTGATCGGCCTTTGCTTTCAAGTATCAGGAGATTAGTTACAATGTGACCGTACATTTAATTGCCTGGAGGTATTCAGAGCCACAGGGAACAGCGAACTTCAGAACTGTCGAGTCTTGGAATCGATCCAGCAAACTCTCGAAATTCTAGCCAGACGAATTACCACCGAGTTCGTGTTTTCGGTTCAGTGAAATTGCAGACCGCATTATGTGATATAATAGCATCACAGTGGAAGCTGTTCTCCTCTCGAGTTACACAGTACATGATGAAACATTGTTTTGTCAGAAAACAGTAAGTACAGTGCGTCTAAAATGTCGCGTCTTCCCTGAAATACAGTGTGTGCCACGAACGTTACGGTTTTGCGTAGGATAAGACCTTCGGGGAAAAACGAGATTTATGTATGCACCACGCCTTGCAGACGTATGGGGGGAGTGAGGATATGCCTCCAGGTATTCTTACGAAATTACGATTTGAGAACTATTAAACAGTTCTACATTAAATTTGATACTGTTTTTTTAATATAATTTATCGACGAATTTCAATTTTAATTATAAACGTAGAACGGCACGCTAATTGATAATCTGCATGAACGTCTGCGCGTATCTGGAGCGTAACCCACCAAATACTTGTTAGGTCAAATAATGTTTGTAACAAATGTTGAAGGCAAGAAAACACATGTTTAACCCTTACGCGTTCCATATGCTGTTTTTCCGTTTTCAAAATTCGAGTAAATAATTAACATTGATTTTTATACTGTCAAAAATCAAGAGTCTTTTACACTGATTTTGGTTATATTTTATATTTTAGCTTCGTGCTAGTCTACACCGCAGTTTTTAAGGGATCATGAAAAGTTAGCTTTCTATAAATGAAAATCTAAGGTCACTGACGGAGCTAAAGTGCCAGAATTGTTACGCTATGTGTATATTTCCTAAGTTGGTATAGAATACAGTTTTAAAAGAAGCTTCTACCAGCCTACACGGCGCTACAACCCAGAAGATAGCATCTTTGTAATCACGTTCGCAAAAACCTCAAATCCTACAATATAATTAATGTTTATCGTATTAATAATATTATTAATTGCGAAACGCTTAATAATCGTCATAAATTGTACTTATCTCTAGATATTATTAGGGAAATGAAATCGAATATTACAGGATGCGCTGGGCGAGATAAGAAATGCGTACAGAATTTTAATTTGAATATTTCAAAGGGAAATTTAGGCACAGGTAGGAGGAATTTATAGACTAGCTAAACGAACATAATTTTCTCGTTATGAATTCCATTTCGGAGAGCTGATTAGTTACCGTGCATTCCTGAATCACCATTGATTATTGGTTTGCGAATTCATCGGTGATACTGGAAATAATGGGTGACGTATGATGATAATGTGGGGATATCGAGACTTATTTGGCAGACTGGATAACGGGAAGGCTTTTTGAAAGCTAGCTATGCGTTCACTTTCACCACATAGTCGCAGGTGTTCTGGGCGAGTTATAATTTAAATAGGCGAAATTGATTATAATTTTAACACGTCTTTGGTCGTAACAGCCAATAACATTGCCAGTTCCCTGACCAAGCGACTGCTGGTAGCAATTTTTATACACTAAAACAAATATCATAGGCTGAAAGTGTTGTGTTGTCGTTTATCTGCGATCTGAAGAAAAATAACAGCGCTGGAGGGTAGTTTGGAAACACGAAACGTGATGGGGGTTGTACATGTAAAATACACTCTCGCCCTCATTTCCCAGAGGAACAGGAAGGGAGGCATTCCAGATAACGTCATCGGTCACGTGATATAAAACATGGATACACAGCCGAGAAATGGAACACTGAAGCACTCGTACCTGAGTAAAAAAGTGACTATAACCCCGGAGGCCTTTCTGACATGTTCCTAGTTTGACACTCCTAAACACATTAAAATTAGATTAAATTTACGAACAAATAGTTGAAGATGGCTGTCTTCTGGGTTGTAGAAGTTTACAGACGTTTCAGAGGTCCCTGCTGCCTCCGTCATAAGGACAATGATGATGGAGGCAGCGTGTGCCTCTAAAACGTCGGTAAACTTCTACCACACTACGTGGCGCAACAACCCAGAAGACATCCATCTTCGTGCTCACCAGCTTGAGAACCACAAATCCTACGAATTCAGACTATTTTATCTCACCTCGTCCTAACTACAAACTTAAAAATTTAAATGGTAGTTGAATAATAATTGTGTTCAATTTGGTCTCCCATCGAGTTGAGCGTTGATTGAGGGAGTTTGAGAAGTTGAGGGGGAAATATCTGGTAGTACGAAAAACAGAAGAACGGAACAGTACAAAGATCACTTGGACGAGCACGCTTAAATGCATGGCCGAAATGAGAAATGCTTGTAATATTTTAATCGGTAAACCTCAAGGAAACTCGAAACACAGACTTAACATAAGACAACATTCAGTTTGATCGTAAGTAAACAAGGTATGATTATGTGGATGGAGTTCAGCTGGCTTAAGATATGGACGAAGGCTGACACGGTAATGAAGTTCAATGATCACTTTACTTCCAATAAATAGTAAGTCATGCGCAATAATCAAATTCGTAGAACAATTTAATATTTTTTAAACTCGCACACGCATCGTAGGTTCCGTCAATTTCCGCTATGTGCGCTGCAATCGAAGTAGATAAAATGCTGATTTCAGAGACTGTCTGCCTTCTTTGTCTCTCACCTTTTGGCCACCTGAAATATGAGGGTTTTCGTGGGACACGCGGTATATTCACACTTGAATTGCGTAAGTTTGTTTTCCGACTGTGCTTGATGAATACTGTTAGAAACTGCGAAGTTATGATGTAACGCAAGTACTTGAGCAGGTGCTGACATGGCAGTACGTCACAGACGTTTCACGGAATCACACACCGTAAATGTATTCAGCGTGACAGCAGAGGTCAGTGAAGTTGAGCATTCTGAACATTTCTGAACACATTAACCGGTGTGACGTGTTAGTGTCGGATTGAATGCCAAGAATTCCGATCCCACAGCAGCCAGGCTACTGGAATGCCTTTGTATCTCAGACAAGAGCCTACATGTTTTTGTTTGCTGTAAAACAAAGCTTTCTGATTTCGTGGTAAGTATCAGTAAAGACGCTGGTAACAACTTCGTACAGAAGGCGCATCTGTCTTGCAACATGCCAGCCACTATGGTCGATACTCGCGCTTTCATAACTCACAGTAAACAAAATGAAAATGTGTAGAACACACTGCAGAAACTTTAACTTTTAATAAAAGGAAATCCTTGGCCGTGCCGCACGATTAAATTTATGATCGAGCAGGGTAGTGTACAGAGGCTGAGAGGCCTAGTCCTTGCAAGGATATCGGATATCCTGATTAAGGCTTTTCACGCGAATATCAAAATAGCATTTTCAATTCCACTACAAACTTCTCTTTTAAAATCCATACGTCTCCACCATTCATTAATATTTCTCTGTCCAATTTGAAGTTGTACGCTTCTATCCTTTGTACATGGAACAGCATCGATACAAAAAAAAATACGTTGTATATTCCGGAAACCCGAGTTTGATTCAGTGTAGTTTTGTAGGTGGTAGATTCGTACCTTGAAGGTCGAGGCAGTCGATTCCTGCGAAGCTTTTGTCACTAATGTACAAGATTACACTGCATCTTGACGTTGAAAACCGCAATCTAAAAGGCTAATATAGTTGATATGTAGTTGTTAAAATGTTTAACGTGTACATTTTAAAGCTTCTAGGTGTAGGGGGCTGGAGATAAGAAAAGTGATATCATTATGCGTGTGTATTTTATCTTTTATCATTGGACGCCGATTACTGTGTCCGGCAAGGAACAATTTAGGCAGCGGTCCTGTTTACCGCTGCACTGTAGTTGTAAAGGACGAGGTGGGAAGTTCAACGCCAGCCCTTCGCTTGGAACGAGACCGCGGGCGTGTGGTTTCCACTCGGCCTCCGCATCGCGCTAACTGCTTGCTCTCTAACGCTGCTAGTAATGAAACTGATATACCGAGTGTTCCACTAGCGACCACAATTCGGTTGAGCATAAAATGAAATTTTGAATTGACTTTTTTATTACTACGAACGTAATACTTGGCAAATAGATTTAGACTTCAGAGAATGTAAGTGTTGGCTTGAACAGAAAGTTTCTCTCCGTTTTTCAAATGAAAAGTCACAATCTTTTCTTTTCTTTTTTTTACCAAATACATTTATGATATTCAATAAATTATATAATTTCCATTGCTTGCTATTACCGCCTCCCAACTTATCAAGCTTTTCAATTCCTGCCTTTTAAAAACTTTTTTGATTTTATTCAAGATATGCTATTGGATACCATCGTTAACCTCTTCGAATCTTTCGAAATTTCTTGTTTCTTGAATGGTTTTACAATTATCTGAAAAAAATTATGAGTCATTTAAT